CCTAAAGGGGGGGGCGTCGCGGCGGCCTACAGGTGGGGCCGCGACTTCCTGGGCGGCTGTCGACCGTCGGCCTAGGGGTCGCGCGTCGGCCTAGGGGTTGCGCGTCGGGCTAGGGGCCTACGGGCGACGGCCTGCTGGGGCCCGCAAGAAAAATCGGGCCGCCCTAGGCGGCGGATTTCCTACTCGCGGGCTGAAGCGGCGGGGCCGCGCTCGGGCTGCTAGCGGGCTGCACACGGGCAGCATGAGAGGAGGGCGCACGAGGGCGCACTAGGGAAGAAGGCGCACGAGGGCGCTAAAAAAAATGGGGGCGCTCGAGGGCACCTCTAGCGGAACAGTGGGCCCATAGGTCTAGAACCTAAGCTCTTAATACCATGTTAGAAAACGAGAAGTGATTGAACTATGAAAGATTGGAGTACAAGTATGAAACCCTAGAGTTGTGTACCCCCTAAAGGCTAACCCACTATAGCCTACACAGCAATAACATATAGATAATGTTTGACATCCACCACCTGGACGGGCTCGCTGTAGAACCCACTCGCGAAGCTACTGAGGGGTGGGGTCGTCCGGGAGAGGCAGTGACCGCCGCTGTCCACCCCTAGCTGCTGCAACTGCCGTGATAGTGGCCATGACAGGCAGTGACGATCAGTAGTAGGTCCAGCACCTCCAGCACCAGCAGCACCTCCAGCACTCCCAGTCGCACCTCCAGCACCCCAGCACCAGCAGTACTCCCAGCACTCCCAGCAGCACCTCCACCAGCAGCAGCAGTAGCAAGGAGTAGTGGCAGCAAGGAGCAACAGCAGCAAGGAGCAACAGCTGCAGCAAGTAGCAGCATCAGCAAGGAGCAGCAGCAGCAGCACGTAGGAGAAGGTGCACAGCAGGAGCAGCAAGAGGAGTTGCAGCAGCAATGGCAGTAGAGAGCAGCAGCAGTAAGTAGCAGCAGCAGCAGGGAGCAGCAGCAGCAAGGTGCGACAGTTGCAGCAGGTACATCACAAAAACCCTATGCCAAGTTTGGACGAATTTTGATTTCGATTGTCTTCGCGTAAAAAAACCCGGAATCAATTTAGAACGACGGTTGGAGTCATTTGATAGGAGCTCCGAGACACATCTCGCGACAAGGTTTGGCTCGGTTCAAGTTCCAATTTGGCACGCGTGCTTTTCCGGATGACATTCGGGCGCAATCCGTTTTGGTGCAAATTCGTGACCAAATTATTCAAAACTAAATTCTGTTTTTGTTCATTTTGGATATTGAGGATTTCAAATTGCATTTATTATTGCGGTTTACAACAACCATTATTCAGCATTCTAGCAACAAGCAGTCTTAGCACCAGGTCAAATAGTCTACGCACTGGCGGGCCTTGAAAGCGCCCGGTGGGCAAGGACGACATCTCCAAGGTCGCCATCGTCGATGAGGAACTTGTTCGGAAAGACGAACGCACCCATAGCCGGATCGTGGGGGATCCTCCGCTCCACGACAGCAAAGTGGATCATCTGTTTGACCTTCTCGCACCACTCCTGGTAGTCTGGCCTGTTCTGTTCCGGCTGGCTACTGATTCGCTTGCGACGCTTATCCTGCAGAAGGGGCTATTCGATCTGCAATGTGGTGTAGGGTTGGGTGGATGGTTTATGAGGAGGGTGGGTTACGGGTAAATGAGCCAACTGAAAGTGGTGATTCAGTCGTCACTATCTACGTAACTCCAAAGGCTTAATCGACCAGGGATTTAGCTGAAGTACAGGCAAGGGGTGAAGGGGATGAGGCATGGGGGTACAAACACATATCTACATCCTTACCGAAAACAGGCCCCATGCCACCATGCGGCTCTTGAACTTGGTGAACACCGCCCCGCCTCTCTTGAAGGAGAGCTTGAACGCATAAGCGAACAAGGGGTTGCTGAAGGGCGTCCCGGTGGCCTTGTCAAAGTGCCAATTGAGGGCCCATTGTTCTGCATTTTGGCAGGGAGGGTATGGGTTGGAAAGGGTTTTGTAGAGAAATCAAGTGGGGGGATGAGAGTCAGGGTGAGCCACATCGCACGGTGATATGTAGCTGCCAACTGGCATATGGTGTTTTTCAGTTGCACATACCGTCTCTGTACTTGGCTAGGAGATGATCGTCGTCGAACCAGGTCGTTGGGTGTAGCTCAGTGGGCAGGCTTTCAACGAGATGGTGGTAACCGGCAAGGCCCATGCCGGTGTATGCTGCTGGCCTGAGGGTGGAGTTGATAGTTGACCTTGTTGAGGACAGCTGGTGGTTGAAGACTCCCATGGTTGACTTGTCATTGTGCAACCACAGCAGCTTCATTGCCTCGAGCCCTTCTGCAGACAAGTGGACAGAGAACACATCGAACACTTCCTCCGGTGTAGGGTAGTACTGTATTTTCTCCGGCGGGTTCAGAATAATGAGCTGAGAGCACACTAAGTAGGCTTTGTTCTGCGCAGAGGTGTAGGGTATACAACACGACATGAGAGAGAGAAACCAGCAGTTATGAGGGTGGCCGCGTGACCAGGGGATGGTGACTAGCAACACTGTGTGAACTTGCCACGTCACACCCTGCGCCATCCGTCATGTCCACCAACAACCTGCCCCACTTGCCATGTCACACCCCCCTACCACAAGCCACGTCACCCCCCACCCACCTGACACGCCTCGCTTCGTCATGCGCCGCTCACGTGTACCCTTTCAAACCGCCACGTCATCCCCAACCCTCACCTTCCGCCACGTCATACCCTCCTGCATCCGCCACGTCCACCAACAACCCGCCCCACTTGCCACATCACACCCCCCTACCACAAGCCACGTCATCCCCCACCCACCTGACACGCCTCGCTTCGTCATGCGCCGCTCACGTGTGCCCTTTCAAACCGCCACGTCATCCCCAACCCTCACCTTCCACCACGTCACACCCTCCTGCATCCGCCACGTCCACCAACAACCCGCCCCATTTGCCACGTCACACCCCCCCACCCCAAGCCACGTCATCCCCAACCCTCACCTTAAACGCCTCGCCTCGTCATGCGCCGCTCCCTTGTACCCATCCCAACCGCCACGTCATCCCCAACCCTCACCTTCCGCCACGTCACACCCTCTTGCATCCGCCACGTCCACCAACAACCCGCCCCACTTGCCACATCACACCCCCCTACCACAAGCCACCTCACCCCCCACCCACCTGACACGCCTCGCTTCGTCACGCGCCGCTCACGTGTGCCCTTTCAAACCGCCACGTCATCCCCAACCCTCACCTTCCGCCACGTCACACCCTCCTGCATCGGCCACGTCCACCAACAACCCGCCCCACTTCCCACGTCACACCCCCCCACCCCAAGCCACGTCATCCCCAACCCTCACCTTAAACGCCTCGTCTTGTCATGCGCTGCTCCCTTGTACCCATCCCATCCGCCACGTCATCCCCAACCCTCACCTTCCGCCACGTCACCCTCCCCCACCCCAAGCCACGTCACCCCCCACCCACCTAACACGCCTCGCCTCGTCATGCGCCGCTCCCTTATACCCTCCAAAACCGCCACGTCATCCCCAACCCCGCCCTGGTTGCCACGTCAACCCCAACCCGCCCCATTTGGCCCGCCACATACCGGGAATGGGTTTGTCTCCTGCAACACTAGCACTCGTACCTTCTCCACGGCACTCATCGGCGGCGGGATACCTTTCATAGGCACCACTGCAGACCCCCCGGCATAACTGGCAGGTGCTCCACGACACAGGCCGAGCTGAGCAAACATGGCGTACATCTCAGACCGTAGCGCCTGGAACTCCTCCCGTGTAACAAACTGCTCGTGCTCCGCACTTTCACCTAGGGCACTCAAGAGCGGGGGAAAAGGGTGTGAAGAATCCCCCTTCTGGCCAAGGGGATCAACGTCTTCTGCAGCAGTCCCGTGTGCCCTCACACTATCACGCTGGCGGGAAAAGGGCAGCTCAGGGAAGGGATTGGCAGAAGTGCTTGGCCCTTGCCCGCGCGAAGGACCGGCGAGGGGGGAGACGGCCCTGCCCCAAACAGGAGAAGCGTGGAGCTGCCGAAATGGGTATGTGGGTGAGGCGAGTGGGGAGTGCGTGACGTGGCCTGGTGGAGGGGATTCGGATTCCTCTCCTCTTAGTGCGCCGGGTGCCCTGGCAGCGACTTTAGACGGGCCGGAGTATGGCGTGTAGAACCTTGGGGCTCCTGTGGATAGCGGGGTAACACTCGCTCTTTCGGCCCCCTTCGTTAGCTGCATCCGTTGCACGCTTACCGGTGGCCCAATGCCTGTAACACGAGGGGCTGAGATTTATAGGGAGCAGGAGCACAAAATTAGAGTCGATTAGTTTCAATATGCTTGCGTACGATCAGCGTTTTGAATCTAAATCGGGTTAAAACGGTTACTGTTTTGTAACAAGAGGCCTTACCTTGCTTTGCAGTTTCGTCGACCATCTCCTTCCCTGCAGGGGAGAAACAATGTGAAGAAATGTGTTAATTGGCACGGTTGAGCAGAGAGTTCAGCAGCCACGCCATGTGTATGGGCCACAGTGCTTACCTTTCAGCTGTCCCTTCGGTTTTCTTGCTGCCTGCGCCTTCTCGTTGCCACCTTTCCGCGGGGTGCTTTGGCGGCCGCTGCGACGTTTACCGGTTGGTTCTTTGTTGCCGGAACCCACTGGAACCCCTTTGGCGCGGCCGCCCTTTCCTTCACCATCCCCTTTTGATCCCTGGCTCCCTTGCTTCTTACCAACTCCTTCGCTTTCGACCTTCACTTTACGCGTCTTCGGTTTGCCCGCTGCTTTGCCACGCGGGGCTGTTAGAGTATGGAACGAATGAATGACTGAACTAGAATGCAGGTGGGTACAAGTTAGAAACCTAAAAGTGTTGTACCCTATAAGAACTACCCCACTACAGCCTAAACAGACTATAGCATATAAGTTTGACAGGGGCGTCACCCACCCCGCGTTTTCGGGAATGGCGAGTCCGGCCCCCCATCTTCCCTGTACCACTTCCCCGTCTGCCTCGCCCGCCCCGTCCTTACGCTGCCGCCACATCCTCCTCCTCCTCCTCCTCCTCCTCCTCCTCCTCCTCCTCCTCTTCCTCCTCCTCCTCCTCCTCCTCCTCCTCCTCCTCCTCCTCCTCCTCCTCCTCTGCCTCCTCCTCATCCTCGTCGCCCCCCTCCTCGTCCTCCTCCTCCTCCTCCTCTTTGTCCTCCTCCTCATCATTCTCATATTTTTCTTCCTCCCCAACCTCCGCGTCCTCCTCCTCCGCATCCTCTTCATCCTTCTCTTCCTCCGCATCCTCCTCCTCATCAGCCTCCTCCTCCTCATCCCCCGCATCCCCCTCATCTTTCTTGCCCCTCCTTCCACCGGATGTTCTCCTCGCTGCGGGTCGGCCCTTCTTGCGCAATGCATGACCCGTCGCCTTTCCACTTGCTTCCCTGGCGCCTCGCGTTGTCCCAACTTCCGCACCACCGGCGTCGTCAGCACCGCGGCTTGTCTGCCGCCTCTTCGACCGCGTATTGATGTCCCCGGGCACGGCGGTGTCATACTCTTCTTCCCCATCGCTCTTCCTCTGCCTACGCCTCCCACGTCCACCAGAAGGAGGAGAGCCACCTACGTCGGCGATGGTGTGTTCCCCCGCCTTGGCCTTATCCACCACAGCAGCAGAAATTTCGACCACGGTCGGCTGGAGCAGCGTCAGTCCGTGTTGGGATGCCTCCGCCTCGGACTCCTGGGTTGCGCCATGCTCGGCGTGGGGAGAGTCGCCGTGGTTTCCCCCTGTCGCCGACCCCTCTCTCTCCGCCGACGGGACTGCAAGACTCACGCTCCCTGTGGCAGTAGTAGCAGTCTTCTCCTTCTCTTCCGCCTTCTTGCCGGACTTCTCCTATCCAAACGCGGCCTTTTTTCCCGCCAATTTTTTCAGCCCTCTGCCACGCGCGGCGGACGCATTAGTACCTTTAGAGCCGCCACCACCCTCCCTATCGGTCTGTTGAGACAGCCTCCTTGTCGCGCGACGTCCGGCCTGTTCCTCCTCCTTTTATTTTTGCCGTGTTGCACGTGTCATGGTTGTTTTACGAATGCGAATTTCTACAAGGCATAACGGTGGAGCCGGTTTCGAAGGGGAACCGCAAATGAATGTAACGAAGGGAGAGTCGACAGTCTATTCTGTCATCTCTCTCTGAAAACCTCCGCTTCAATCAATACTGAAATAGTAGTCAGCTGGAGCTCCGGCCCATGAATTAGTCGACTGGTGAGTCACGGGCGATCTAGAAACGCCTGTGTCAAACAGCGAGCAGCGTCAAAGTTGTGGGCCAGAGGGTGACGGAAGCAAGTGGGTGGGGCACGAGGGTGGTTGGGGTGGCTTGCGCGACTAGAGAGATTACTGTAATCAGATCAGGCTATATCAGACGGTGTACGTGTAGCCACCCAATCATAAACCCACCCACTGCTCGATCACAGCCGCTCAATGGCGGAAGTACCGCTTGGCGGGTGCTTGTGTTGCGGGAGGGGTCGTTTGAGATGCGTCGGCCAATTAGTGTCGCCAACGCACAAATGACTTGTCATGCTGGAACTGTTTTTGAACCAATTGAGCGAAAGCAACCTAAACCCTGCAAAGTACAGTCATGTCGCGAACGAACAATGTTGCACATACAAGCTAAATAACATTTAAAACTACAACAAATACAATTAAAAAAAAAATGGTTACTAATGTAATAGTCTGGGGTTGGGGTAAGGTAGTGGGTTTGTATCACGTCACACACACAAAGAGCGTCCAGAATTATTACTTCATACAATTTAACTGAGCACTATTAGGCTATGCCACAACGGTTACGCGTCGTTGTACGAAATCTAACAAGACGATCACTAGTGCCAAACGAGAAACAGTTGTGATATGGTGTTGGATTGTGCTCAACACTTGCATGGAACTTATAAAAGGTGCATAAAGAGAGTGGTATGAAGCACAGGGCTAACGCACAAGCGGTGATGCGTTATCGACAGCCATGTTTAGACAGGGCGACGCTGCATCGTTCAGGCCCATGTTTTGCGCGACATGGTAAAACCGTTGTGGTATGATGTTGGATTGGGCTCAATTATTGCATGGACCTTATAAAAGATGGATAAAGGGAGTGGTATGAAGGACAGGGCTAACGCACAAGCGGTAATGCGTTATCGACAGCCATGTTTAGACAGGGCGACGCTGCATCGTCCAGGCCCATGTTTTGCGCGACATGGTGAAACCGTTGTGGTATGGTGTTGGATTGGGCTCAATTCTTGCATGGACCTTATACAAGGTGCATAAAGGGAGTGGTATGAAGCACAGGGCTAACGCACAAGCGGTGATGCGTTATCGACAGCCATGTTCAGACAGGGCGACGCTGCATCGTTTAGGCCCATGTTTTGCCCACATGGTGAAACCGTTGTGGCATGGTGTTGGATTGGGCTCAATTCTTGCATGGACCTTATAAAAGGTGCATAAAGGGAGTGGTACACAGAGCAGAAATCTACTGTTGTTTTTCCTTTGCTTCAAGCCTCCTGCACGCACGCAGCTCACTGAGCTATGTCTGGATCTGGCGGCTGAGGGCAGCAGTGGCAGGGGAGGAGTAGCGCGCAACTACAGCGTCGTACAAAGACTGAGCAGTCTTGTACTGGCCAAAATGCGCGCGCTCAGCAGGCGGCAGGTGACTACGAACAGCAAGACGAGCAACAGCGTCACGAGTGGTCCACTGCGAGCAAACTGTACTGTCAGCAGTGGCAGCAAGAGCAGTAGAGACACCGGACGTGTGATCGAAAAGGGATACCCCATCCCTAGAGTCACACTGAAGAAAGAGCTGCAGGTCGTCAACCCACACGTCAAAGTCAATTGCACGCCCCTCAGCATCAAAGGTGAGAACAGTGGGGCAAGCCATAGCAGCAGTAGCAGCAGTAGCAGCAGTAGTAGCAGTAGCGGCAGTAGCAGCAGTGGCAGCAGAAGCAGGGCAAGCAGAAGGGCAGCGCGGCTCGGCAGTGCGGCGCGGCTTGGCAAAGGCGGCGCGGCTCGTCTGGGCGGCGCGGCTCGGCAGGGCGGCGCGGCTCGGTTCCTGGCAGCGCGGCGCGGCATCAGGCGGCGCGGCGCGGCAGGACAGCGCAGGTGCTTACCGGGGGTGGGTGCAGGGCAGGGCCGCGACAGGGGCAGCTGCAGGGCAGGGCCGCGACAGAGGGCGGCTGCAGGGTAGGGCCGCGACAGGGGCGGCTGCAGAGCAGGGCCGTGACAGGGGCGGCTGCAGGGCAGAGGCCGTGACAGCGGCGAACGCAGGGCCGCGACTGGGGCGGCAGCACGGCAGGGCCGCGACAGGAGGCGGCTGCACGGCAGAGGCCGCGATGGGCGGCAGCAGGGCAGTGGCCGCGACAGGGGGCGGCTGCAGGGTAGAGGCCGCGACGGGCGGCGAAGTGCTGGGCAGTGGCCGCAACAGGGCGGCTGCTGGGCAGAGGCCGCGATGGGTGGCGAACAGGCCACGACGGGCGGCAAAGGGGGCCGCCACGGGCGGCGAACAGGCCGCGACGGGCGGCAAAGGGGCCGCGACGGGCGGGAAAGGGGGGGGGGCGCGACGGGCGGCAAAAGGGGCCGCGACGGGCCAGGAACAGGCCGGGACGGGCCGGCTGAGAAGGTGCCGGCTAGGGAAGGGCGGGCGACTGCGTAGCTAGGGCAGGTGTGAGGCGCGCTTCGGGCAGGGCAGGAAAAAAAGTTCGTGGTGGGCCCTTAAAAAAAACGTTCCCACGAGGGAACCTGCTCAGAATACCATGTTAGAATATGGAACGAATGAATGACTGAACTAGAATGCAGGTGGGTACAAGTAGGAAACCTAAAAGTGTTGTACCCTATAAGAACTACCCCACTACAGCCTAAACAGACTATAGCATATAAGTTTGACAGGGGCGTCACCCACCCCGCGTTTTCGGGAATGGCGAGTCCGGCCCCCCACCTCCCCTGTACCACTTCCCCGTCTGCCTCGCCCGCCCCGTCCTTTCACTGCCGCCACATCCTCCTCCTCCTCCTCCTCCTCCTCCTCCTCCTCCTCCTCCTCCTCCTCCTCCTCATCCTCGTCGTCCCTCTCCTCCTCCTCCTCCTCCTCCTCCTCCTCCTCCTCCTCCTCCTCCTCCTCCTCCGCCTCCTCCTCATCCTCGTCGCCCCCCTCCTCGTCCTCCTCCTCGTCCTCCTCTTCGTCCTCCTCCTCATCATTCTCATCTTTTTCTTCCTCCCCAACCTCCGCGTCCTCCTCCTCCGCATCCTCTTCATCCTCCTCTTCCTCCGCATCCTCCTCCTCATCAGCCTCCTCCTCCTCATCCCCCGCATCCCCCTCGTCTTTCTTGCCCCTCCTTCCACCGGATGTTCTCCTCGCTGCGGGTCGGCCCTTCTTGCGCAATGCATGACCCGTCGCCTTGCCACTTGCTTCCCTGGCGCCTCGCGTTGTCCCAACTTCCGCACCACCGGCGTCGTCAGCACCGCGGCTTGTCTGCCGCCTCTTCGACCGCGTATTGATGTCCCCGGACACGGCGGTGTCATACTCTTCTTCCCCATCACTCTTCCTCTGCCTACGCCTCCCACGTCCACCAGAAGGAGGAGAGCCACCTACGTCGGCGATGCTGTGTTCCCCCGCCTTGGCCTTATCCACCACGGCAGTAGAAATTTCGACCACGGTCGGCTGGAGCAGCGTCAGTCCGTGTTGGGATGCCTCCGCCTCGGACTCCTGGGTTGCGCCATGCTCGGCGTGGGGAGAGTCGCCGTGGTTTGCCCCTGTCGCCGACCCCTCTCTCTCCGCCGACGGTACTGCAAGACTCACGCTCCCTGTGGCAGTAGTAGCAGTCTTCTCCTTCTCTTCCGCCTTCTTGCCGGACTTCTCCTATCCAAACGCGGCCTTTTTTCCCGCCAATTTTTCAGCCCTCTGCCACGCGCGGCGGACGCATTAGTACCTTTAGAGCCGCCACCACCCTCCCTATCGGTCTGTTGAGACAGCCTCCTTGTCGCGCGACGTCCGGCCTGTTCCTCCTCCTTTTCTTTTTGCCGTGTTGCACGTGACATGGTTGTTTTACGAATGCGAATTTCTACAAGGCATAACGGTGGAGCCGGTTTCGAAGGGGAACCGCAAATGAATGTAACGAAGGGAGAGTCGACAGTCTATTCTGTCATCTCTCTCTGAAAACCTCCGCTTCAATCAATACTGAAATAGTAGTCAGCTGGAGCTCCGGCCCATGACTTAGTCGACTGGTGAGTCACGGGCGATCTAGAAACGCCTGTGTCAAACAGCGAGCAGCGTCAAAGTTGTGGGCCAGAGGGTGACGCAAGCAGGTGGGTGGGGCACGAGGGTGGTTGGGGTGGCTTGCGCGACTAGAGAGATTACTGTAATCAGATCAGGCTATATCAGACGGTGTACGTGTAGCCACCCAATCATAAACCCACCCACCACTCGATCACAGCCGCTCAATGGCGGAAGTACCGCTTGGCGGGTGCTTGTGTTGTGGGAGGGGTCGTTTGAGATGCGTCGGCCAATTAGTGTCGCCAACGCACAAATGACTTGTCATGCTGGAACTGTTTTTTAACCAATTGAGCGAAAGCAACCTAAACCCTGCAAAGTACAGTCATGTCGCGAACGAACAATGTTGCACATACGAGCTAAATAACATTTAAAACTACAACAAATACAATAAAAAAAAAATTGGTTGCTAATGTAATAGTCTGGGGTTGTGGTAAGGTAGTGGGTTTGCATCATGTCACACACACAAAGAGCGTCCAGAATTATTACTTCATACAATTTAACTGAGCACTATTAGGCTATGCCACAACGGTTACGCGTCGCTGTACGAAATCTAACACGACGATCACTAGTGCCAAACGAGAAACAA